AGACTGACTTTTGTTTTGACTTTGTAATTTAGGTGATGATAAGGCGGAGACAATCTACAGGCTAGGTTACTTCAGAGGTTTTATAGTTCAATCTAAAACCTGAAAAGAAGTGTTAAAAACAAAATTTAAATGAAATAGAATCATGTTTTAATGGACTAAGTTATTGTTATGTCTATTTATTAGATATAACTTAGAATTTTCTTCAAATATCATACCAAAAAGGTCATGAAGGGGTATAAGCATTAAACTTCTTTACTAGTAACTTTCCCCCTTATAATTCTTTAGTTTTAAAACCTAGAGTGTTGGGGTTTTTCTAGCAATTTCAGTCACTGGATTATCTGAGACTCTAGACATTTTTTAAATGCATATGCTGTCATTTTCCAGTCAAGTGACCATTAAAGCATAACCTGTTTTTAAATGGAGAGCTTTTGGAAACTGGAAAATGTTACTTTACAACCTCTGGATCAGTTAGTTCAAAAACATAAACATACCGTATGCTGGAAACTTAAGTATAGGATAAAAACCAAAGGCCTTTATCCTAGAATTCACTAATGTGACCATGTTGTCTAATTATGTAATTATTAGTCAGATGGCTGTTTTTTTTTTCTTTTTTTAAGATTTACTTACGCATAGAAGAACTCAGGTACAGGTCAGAGGTGGGAGGGATGAGAGGCTTCACCAGAAACAGAGTGGAGAACACAGACTAACTGAAATACACTGTTGGGGAAACAGGGGGTGGAATAGCGGGAGAGATCTGCCACTCCATGTGGGTCACCTCCTTGGCAAGGAATCTGAACTGCAGTGGCTGTGGAGAGATTCATAGTGCTGCACCACAATTGTACCACCAGGGAGAGCCCTATTGTGATTATTTTAATTTTGAATTAATTAAAGGTAGGGGCCTTCCTTATGGCCTAGGGGTCAAGTCTCACTCTTATCAGTCTTAAGAGCTGAGTTCCATCCCTAGCCTGGGAGCTAACCTGTTAAGACATAGCAGACCTCTCCTGTCACCCCACATCTGACCTATACCCCATCCTTCTAAGCAATAAATAAAATAAATCTTTTTAAAAAGATTCAAGGTAAAAACCAGTTAATTATTTGCACTGTCATGTTTTAAGTCTTAAGCAAATACTGGCATTTCATGTTTTTGGTGTACTGTTACCTGTGAATGAAATGGGTGATGGTGTAACAGGGTGGTCCCTAGGAAAAGGGGAAGTTCCAGGTTCTCTGCCCCACCCAGGAGGGTGGAGCTGAGCAGAGAAGAGAAGAAGAGAAGGAAGCTGGATGGAGAACAAGGAGACCAGAGGAAGCCACATGGAGCAGGGAGCATGTGATAAAGAAACCGTGCTTGTTTCCTGACCCTGGACTGGTTAAGGCAGATGTGGGTGAGAGACCTGCAGGGAGGTGACTATGGCAGTGTTTATATTGATTTTGATTGTGCTCTTTTCCTCCCAGATTTGTCTGGCCATTTCTGACCCTTTTCCATGGGTCCGGCCAGAAGGTGCTTTAGTCTAGTGGCGGCTTTCAGGCCTTGCTTTGGGCCAATCCCTTTTGGGTTGACTTTTGCCCACGAGGGGATGGGTAACTTCAGGTGTTTGATTTAGGAGTTATATTCTTTTGTTCCGTATTGTATATTTACTGTATTAAAGTTCCTTTTCATTAAAATTATATGTGTTTTGTCTTGTTGCAGCAGATGGCAGAACCCACTTAGAGCAGGCAGGTTTTGGGGCTTCAGGGGTGTCCCTCTCCCTGTACTGTAACAGATTTTGTCCTGTAACAGATTTGGGAAGCCCTGTAACAATGGTATTTTTGTCGGAATGGTAGTCTGTTAACTGATGACATTCATCTGTATTTGCATTTGTTGATTTCTTGTCTTCCCAAGGCTGATCACTGATTCGTGGTTTGGTCTGGTATATAAAATTGTCAGGATATTTTTTACACTTTCTGATTGTAACAAAGTTTTCTTCCAAAGCCTTCCAGATACTTTTTTCATGTTGATTGTATTGATGTTTATGTGGGAAATGAAAAATAGATTTTATAGGTTTTTTTTCTTTGTGGTATAATATTTACAAAATATGCAGTTTTAGCCATTTTTAGGTCTATAGCTAGTTAAGTGGCATTAAATCCATTGTTACACAGGCTTCACCACTGCCCATCTCTGGGTCTTTTTCATTTTCTCAGACTATAACTTTGTGCTATTAAACAAATTTTTTTTTTCATTTCTTTGTTTTTCCAGCCTCTGGCAACTTTTTGTCTATAAAGTTGACTATTCCAAGTACGTTATTTTATATAAGTAGAATCATATACAGTATTTGTCTTTTTGTGTCTCATTTCTTTCACCTAACGTATTTTTAGGTTTCATTTGTTATAGCATCTTCTTTTTTTGAAGATTGGTTTATATTGACACACATATACACTCTGTATATATTTTTGTAACTAAAATTTGCCAGTTTAGCCATTTTAAATGTAAGTTCAGTGGCTTTAAGTACTTCCATATTGTGCAACGATTACCACCAATCCGGTCCACCTCCAGAACTTTGTTCATCTTGTGGAACCAAAGTTCTGGACCCATTAAATATAGTAACTTCTATTACTTTCCCCTACCCCCAACCCCAGACAACTGTCATTCTGCTATCTGCCTCTGAATTTGACTGTTTAGTACCTCTTGTAAGTGGAATCATAAGTGTAACTGTGTGATTTGTAACTGATTTAATTCACTTAGCATGTCCTTAGGGTTCATCACCAGGTTTCCTCTTGTATTTTTTATCAAAATTTCATCCTCCTTTAAGGCTGAATGTATTATGATGCCTGTATGTATGTATCACATTTATTTTATTCATCTGTTGATGAACATTTGGGTTGCTTTTACCCTCTGGTTATTGAGAATAATGTTGTTATGAATGTACAGATAGCTTTTGTATTCCCTGCTTCAGTTCCTTTGATAAGTATCCAGAAGGCAAATTGCTGGGTAATATGGTAATTTTTTTTTTGAGGACCTGCCATATTGTTTTCCAGATTTTATGGAACCTTACGCACTGCTGAACTTCGAAAAAACAAATTTAAATCATCAAAAGTTGAGATTTCTCAAATTACCTGCCCTGTATTTCCCTAGCTGTATCAAGTGTTATGCTGCTTTATGAGTGAAGACCCCGAGAGAAACTTTATTTCTCTTTATTGGAAGTTCACAGTCCTGGTAAAGGGGATAATTTTGTTCTGTTTGGCATGGGGAGCCTTATAAATGTACTGCCTTCATGATTTTTTTCCTCCTTATTGTAGAGCTCCCAAAATGAAAGCATTATGAAATAAGTGTTTTGTTTTTTCATTTGGTCAGAAACATTCTGTTAATATAGGTGTATGTTATGGTTCTTACTTTTTTTTCTCAAGTGCAGATTTCCTCCTTTCTGGTTTTTCTTTGTTTTCATTGTTTCCTTGTTGCCTTTTCTGTCTCATTCGTAATGTAATACTATTTAAACAGATAGTCCCAAAGGAGGAAAATATATTTGGAACTAGGTTTGAAATATGCGCTGTTTTTATATAAGCATTCAGAGTTTTCTACCATTTCTGTCAGATTGAGAAGCTTGAATCTCTAGTACAGTGTTTACATGTTTAATTCTGGTTTATATGGGTTGTATAAAATGTGCTCAGATAGGTAGGATTAAATGCCAGTGACTAAAGGAAGTATGTATTAACTTTGTTTTTTACTTTCTGGAAGCCCTCACTCACATGGGTATCCATTTCTTTGAAGAGATGGTTCCAAGTTTGGAATGTTCTACTTTTAAAGCAGAGCCTTCTACCATAGTTAGTGAGGCCCACAGTGAAGTGATTATCAAGAATGAACACCTCAGTTATTCCCAAACCAAATTGATTTTATGGATCCAGATGTACCCATTTGCAGAGCCATTCTTGAGGTTAATACGTGTATAGATGACTGAGGGCTATGAATGGAATAGGGATTTTTTTTTACTTGTCATAAAAATATGTTGGCAAATTTCTCAGTATTATGCATGATCAGCAACCACACATTTGAACCAAAATTCATTCAACAGAAGTTGTTATGGTATAGGATTATTTGAGAATTTTTCTTGTAGAAACACTGGTATTTCATTGGAAACAGATGAGACCAGTGTGCCGTGCAGTCACTTGGCCTTACTGATCCCTTTTGTTGCGAGCAGAGTGAACAATGAAAATGAACCCCATAGTCTTCCAAAGTTGATTTGAGGTGTTTAACATTTCTTGTGGTATTTGAATAGCTTGTGGTGTTTTAAACAATAATTTTTATTCTGCTTTTAATTATTTATTATAAATAGGGATGTGAAAGTGGCAGGTCCTATGTCTGAAATAGTGTTCATTGACTTTTTAAAAGGAATTCTTTTCCTTTTGTACTCTTAGCTAGCCTCTTCCCCCCAAATATACTTAAGTCTTTGAAGACTTTGTTTAAAAGATGTATTTGTCATTGATTGAAATCTTAAATAGTATAGCAACCTGAACATTTTTATGTTGCTTTTAGATTTCACTGAAATACTTTTATTTCCATAACCTCATTTGTCAGAGCTTTTCCATCCTCAGTGAAGTATATTAAGTAATTCTGCTTAATTTGAGGAGTTTTTGTGTAGGGCTAACTAGCAGCCCTAATCCGATTCTAATTCTTGGCAGCTAATGAATCCTTAGGCCCTTATTGGGTTGCGCTTGCATTGTTGAGGGCCTGCTCGGTGATTTTGGTTGATTCGGCAGTTTTAGAATGGTTGGTGTAGAAGTGAGTCTTGGAGCAACAGTGCACTATTAAAGAAAAAAGGGACAAGTACTTTTAGGATCTGCTGTGAAGTATAATGAAAGACTTTAGAGCATGTTAATCAAGGGATTGCTGGGCTATAGCCTGCTTCATATTCATCACGTAGTCATGGAAATATCTTTTGAAACGTGATAAAAAGGCTTGTTCTGCTACTGCTTTGTGAAATGGAAGACTGGAATTAGATGCTTAAATGGAAAATGTTCTCTTGTTGCAGCCCCTTTGAAATGTGCTGCTAGTGGGAGCTGCAGCTTCCTCCTGCTGACTCTGAGCCCCAGGCTTCGGTTGCGATGGTCCTTTCAGAAATGTGGAGCTTAGTCCAAGCCTGAATTTCAGTGGGTAGCACCTGGCATCTGTGGCTAGAAAGTCCTATGAAGTGTAAGTGCTTTATTCTCTTCTTGTAAAGATTCCCTTTTCCTTCCTTCTTTTCTGTACTTCTTTCTGCAGCTTAGCAGAGGGGAAGAACAGTGACTAGTGTCCTGTATATCTAGGATATCAGCATTTGTATTTTCCTTATGACTCAGTGACCAAAACAGGATTACTTGGTTTTGGGTATCAGTAGTTCTTAAAAACACTCATGTGATTCAGAATAAAACTATCTTTTTTAAAAAAGATTTATTTATTTATGCATACAGAATTGGAGTACAGGCCAGAGGTGCAGGGGCAGTGAGAGGATTCACCAGAGTCAGAGTGGGAAGCAGAACAGGCAGAACTGGTGAAGAACAGTGCTGACGGGTGCAGCGGGCCGGTCAGGAGATGTCTGCTGTGCCATGTGGATCACCTCCGGGGCAGGGATTGAACTCATGCGGAAGTGGCTTTAGCTTCTTAGTGCTGTGCTCTAACCGGCTGCACCACCAGGGAGGGCCACGATCACGAATTTTGACCTCTTGTGAATATTGATGTTGGCAGTATCAACCTGGGTAATTTTTCATTGACAGTTTACTTAAGCAGCTTGTAATATTCAAGTTTGTCAGAGTTCTGTAGAAGTCACACTTGTATTTTGCTCTTATTTCAAAAGACAACTACTTGAAAAGAGGTACATTTGACCACTGGGTGAGGCAGCATGGAGCTATGTCAGGATGCTTGAAATGAAAACACTGCTCTTTGACTTGGTTGTACTTGATACAGTTGCACAAGGAGCAATTTGGGAACTTTCCCAAGGCTAATTCCCTGTAGAATTATCTTAGGAAATTAATAAGGCAGCCACCTATATTTTAGTTTATATTATTATCCAGTTTTTTTCAACTAGGAGTATTAAAGACGTGAGTTTATATTTGGTTTAGTTGTTTGGGGCTAAGCGTTACTCTCTTTTTTCCTAATTCAGAAATACCAGTAATATTTTAAAGCACACTCATTTCAGAAAAGACTCTCATTTTGGGGAGATTTTAGGGTTCACCTTCACTGAAATTTTGCTAAAATTTTAAAATCAGATTTGATCTAGTAAGATTTCAAACTTATCACTAAAACAAGATATGTATTTTCCTTTTAATTAAAAAAAATTTTAAAAAAGATGTTTCAAAATTAGTTTATTGATTTCAGTGCAAATGATGGGATCCCAGATTGACAGAGCAAACAAATATTACTTATATCTGTGGGAGAGGAGAACATATCTTATAAGCAATAGATTATTTTTGAAATTATTGGTACCCTGTAATACTAGCGGTGACTAATGCACTTCTCAGAGATGACCAAATATCTAAGTTAATTTTTTTTTAAAA